CAATCATATCTTATTAGCAAAAATTAAGAAAAATAGCAACTAATGAGTCTTTACTTAAATTTATTGAGATAAAAGAAAATTATTCACAATTTTTTTTTCATTTTTAGTTAGATATACACATATTTAGCACGTACAAAAATCCAAGGTTTTACCATTGAAAGAACGTGAACTAATGGCTTTACCATTATTTGATTTTTTTTTGAAATCTAGATTTTAATGCATCAATAATTATTTGTAGATATGAATTCATAGTTACAGACATCGAGAATAATTCGCAGGTAGCTGACCAACCACAACTGACATTTTTTACAAAGTAAATAATAATGGCTTTTAGCTATTTGTCCTCTATGTTTGATCTTCACAAAACTTGCTACGTAATGTAAAAGGGGTAGCTATATACTTTTAAATTAAAGGAATAATTAATGAAATATCATTACTGATTTACAAATTTTACAAAGTGGTACATTTACAAAAGTTTGATGTACAAAAAAAATTAGTAATGTAAAAAGGTTCTACGGCATTGTTTAAGACACTGCCTGTTCACACTGGTCGTTTAGATCGATCTGAGATCGATCTAACTTAAAGCGAGCTAAGTGTGAACCTTCGCAAAAATTTGAGATCGATCTGAAATCGATCTCAGTCAGCTCGCTTCGAAAGGTGGTCTGAGATCGATCTGAGATCGATCCGGTTTATATGTGAACGTAAGTGAGCTTATTTCGATAGAACAGTTTCGCTCCCATGCCGTTTCAACAAAAACGCAGACATTTTTCTCAAAATTTAATATCAAATCAAAGAAAAAAGCTTGGAAAATGGCGCAAAAACGAGAGGTTTGGTCAGAAAAAGACTGTTTAGCCCTCCTCTCAGCGTACGGTACAGAACAAATTCAACAAAGGTTGAAAGGTACCCACAAAAACGCTGATATTTATAAAAAAATCAGCATTATAATGAAAAAAAAAGGATAGATCGTGATTGGACGCAATGTAGAACTAAATTTAAACATATGAAATCTGAATACAAAAAGCTCAAAGACACATTATCACGAACAGGAGCTGGGAGAGGCAAGGAACCCAAATTCTTTAACGTTATGGACAGTTTCTTGGGTGACAGACCAGAAGCAAGGGGTCTAAAAAACGTCATCGATACATCTGATGAATCAACGTGTTCATCAGCTAAAGCTGAAATAAAAAGCATTAACGTGCATCATGATGATGGTAAGTTATCGTGGATGAGTTGATATCGAGTGGTTTTTTTTTGCAAATGAAAATATTGGTTTTGCTTTTCATAGCAGACGAGCTTACAAGAAAATACGGACACGGGAGGATCATTGACGAAAAATGTCCTCAGTGCGATGAGTTTGTGGAGCTTAGGACAGCTGGAGCCCATGTTGGAAACAGCACTGCAGTATACGCTGATGATGACAGACTTGTTTGCCCATATTGCGATTACATTGAAGCAGGTGAATAGTAGAGCATTGCATGTGTGTACTAATTTTTTTTTTATTACGTCGTAACATTTATGAGATATGTTATGTAGATATCAGTAACGCAGATGAGAAGTTACCTAGTGAAGCAAATGAGGAAACCCTACCATCTCAAAGTGAAAACAAATCAGTGCCAAGGAAAAGAATACCAAGGGGGAATGGCAAAGCCATTTCGTCATGCAAGTGGCATTCGAGAATGCAATGAAAGAGCATTACAAATATCTCAAGGAGTCCGATGAAATGTTTTTGTCAGAAATGAAAAAAGAAGCAGAAAAAGAGCGAGAGTTGCGAAAGGAAGAGCTTAATGTTTATAAGGAGTCAATGTCACTTCTTGCAAATGCAATAGCAATGAGGTCTCAGCCTGTGCAACAACCATTCTACAATGTTCACCATGATGCTGAAAGTCAACAAACATATTACAAACTTTGATTTAATTTAAGAACATGAGTAATTTAGCTATCATCAGCTTATTGTGTTATCAAAAACTCAGTTAAAGAATTTCTAATTTGCTATGCACTTGTGTCTGTATTCTGTAAAACAAATTCTGAAATTTCATCATCAGGAATAAGTTCAACATAATCTGCAAAAAGTTCGTCAGCTCTACTTACACAAATATTGTGTACAACACAACATGATGCAATTTTCATAGGCAAATGATCTAAATTTGTATAATTCTTGTTAAGTAGGCATCTGAATCTGTTTTTTAAACGGCCAAATGCACAATCCACGACTGGCCTTGCTCAACTTATGTTGTAATTAAATTTCTTTTGAGCAGGACTGAGATTGCCATCGTTAGGATGCCTCTTCATCAACCATGGTAACAGTGGATATGCTGGATCACCAATAAGCATCTCTTTTCCTCCCTAGAGTATATCAAGACCATGAATTTTCTAGTGGCTATTATCAAAAATGTAGTAAAATTTGCCTCTGACCTAAGATAAGCTTTCTATTATAAGAACAGAAAACTTACATTTGGGAAAAATTTTCCTGCTTCAGCTTTTGCAAACACTCCAGAGTTTGACAAAACTCTTGCATCATAGACTCGACCTGGCCACTTTATGCAAATGTTAGTGAATCTTCAAAATTTTTTAAATATATATTTTTTACTTTTTAAGTGTGTGTAATTTAGTTCACTTTGTGTAACTTACTCAACTAGTTGAAACACATGTCTAAATTAATAAGAAACCTATTTTACATCAGTCACTGTTAAACTCCCCCATGGGATCTAAAAATTGTTGGAAGGTGAAAAATGTCAGCTGCTTAACAGGGATGCAAAAACTTATTTAGTCAACCTTGACAAAAGCAGTACGTTTTGGTACCTGTATTGATGATCAACAACAGCTTGGAGAACAACAGAGTAGAATCCTTTTCGATTGTAGTAATCTTTTGTAGAATTTGAAGGTGCTACAATTTGAATATGAGTGCCATCAATGGCTCCAGCACATTGAGAGAAGCCACATTTCGATAGAAAGGCATCAACGATACTTTGCAGTCTATGGCCTGTTGGCCAATTGATAACAAGACGCAGTAACACGTCAAAAATAGCTTGGCAAACCTCGTTCACGATTCCACAGGCTGTACTTTTTCCTATACCAAAACGCCAAGCTAAAGAACGCAAATCTTCATTGGTAGCCAAATGCCAAAGACAAATTCCTACTCTTTTTGGCACAGGGATAGCCTTTCTGAAATTTGTATCTTCTCGCAAAAGAGTTTTATTGATCTTGTCGCATATGAAATCGAATGTTCCCTTAGACATACGAAAATTTTCTGGCCACAACCCATCATCTTTCCACATATCGATAGTTTTTTCCCAGAAGAAATCGGAGCAAATGCTTGCATCCACCCAGAAACGGCTTTCACTCATTAATTTATTTCCTAGAGCGCCAATAAACAAAAAATAAAACTGGCCGTTCCCATCCTTTACTTCGCTGCTTTCTCAGTTTCAAAAAATATTTCTTTCTTCTTTCACGACGCATTCGCATCTTTTTGTGGTATTCAGATGTAATATTGAAAATGGTTGCGATCACTTCTTCCGACATATTTGGATTGCAATAATATAAATATTACACTTTGTTGTCAAGGAAACTAGCTCGGCGTACGTGTAGCGTCAGTCAAGTGTGAACGCTCACAAAATTGAGCTTGGTCATTCACAAGATCGATCTCAGATCAATCTTCTCGGATCGATCTTAAAGCGAGCTAAGTGTGAACAGGCCCTAAGAAAATTCAAACATTGCTGGTGGTAAAACGAATATTTATACAGAATTCTTAATAAAGCTACTACCTGTCAAACTTACGGATGGATTGCAAATTGACGTGACAGAAATAGCTGAAATACGTTAATGGTGTTATAATGGTTATTAAAATTTGGAAGAGATACATAAGTTTAAGTGCATGGTAAATTGGACCTTTTTCGGTAATATTTAAAAAATCTTTTGACAGTGTCTTTTACAAGAAAAACTTACACACTCCATTAGTCGCGACGATAATACATTATGTATTGGACGAGAGACAGGTGGTTGTGTTGATTTGGCGTTTTAAAATGTTTAACAGGGTTTCCTAACGTCGATCGCAATTAAAAGACAAAGTAAGCACTGTGAAAGAAACATCAAGGCTAAATAGGTATATGATTCGTATTCTTGTTTAAATATCTTCTAATGCAAGTATTGTAAATTTTGCCTAAATTTCAGAGTTTGCCTTGACTATTAAACTTACTATGTTTTGTCGATGCTCGAATTTCATTTAAAAAACATTGTACAGTTCAATTTGTCAGTACATTATTGATGCTTGTATGTTGTTTTCTGGTAAAATGCAACACAAATGTTTATCAAAAAAGAGTTTTAATAACACACGCTTTTAAAAAGACGTTTAATAACTTATGGCGTATAGCTCGCGGTACTACATATTAAGCTGTATATAAGTATATAAGTATATAAGTGCCGTACCATATAAAAAAACAAAAAATATTTGTTAATGCATACCGAAGTCTATTGATTAAAAAGAGCACTACTATACAGCAATAAATGAAATACTTATGTGGTAAAATTATTTTAAGAAAATGTTTAGATCGAAATATATATGTTTGAATTATCACCAGATAATCATGTTTCAAATATTCGCCAATTGATATAAACAAAGAGAGATCATCTTTGTATTTTATATTTAAAATGTATACGATTAAGAGATTGTGGTAAATACAAAAGATTTAGAGTTTAGTGTATCTAGTTTGCAGTAATCATAGTGTTCTTTTTTGTCATAAAACTTCCGAAATTAAATGGAAAAACAAATAAGTTGCAGCGCAAAAACATTTTGTCTTAGATACTATATTGGAGTCGTAGAATAGAAAATTAACAAATATAGATTTTATTAGCATATAAATTTGGCATTATGCTCTACTGAGAGTATGCCCATGCACAAGGAAAATTTTACATTCAGATTGAAGATTTTTGTGAAAGTAATTTTCTCAATTACTTCAATTTTCCTTCAGATAGCTTCGGTCATCTGGTTTGAGTTAGTTGTTTAAAGTAAGTAACTTATGCAAGAAGAAAACACGCTTAAAGAAAACGTAAGTAGTACTGATTCATAGCACCTTTCATTTTAAAAATCTGCAAAAATTATCAAGCAGCAACACTATTATAATCATGACCTAATTGAATACGCTGTCTATGCCTTAATTCCATTTACTGTGTAATAATGTATTAGTTGATAAAAGAACCAATGGCATATTGTTCGCGGTACTGCTCATTTACCTCAGCAGGGCTAAAGAATTCCGTATTTTGAGATGTCGAAACATGTTTATTTTCAAAAAAGTTGTCGTGTATATTAAATGTGTATTGGCAATAGTGCTTTTACGAAATTATGGAAAAATATAAAAAGTTATAAGTGCAATTTATTTACTTAATATATATCGTGAAGACTATAGTATGCAATAAACAATACCATTTTGTCCTTTTCAACGACAAATTTTCTTACCATGATTTAGTAAACAAGTTTCAGACTAGAGAGTTTCTCACTGGAAAAGCTGTTTGCAATTAATCATATTAATACATAAATATTTATAGCTTATAAACTTACATTTCAGTGTTAGGGGCTGTTCTCTTTATAAAAGACGGAGGTTTTTAAACAATAACCACCACATGTAGCTATTGTTTACTTTTTCCATTTAAAATAAGGAGAAAAGTCTTTCATAAATACCAAAAACAAAATTTCCTTATATTGCATAGTAGTCTGGTGATGTCATGTACAATTAAAAATTTGCAATTTGAAATGAGCAGAAAATGTAAAATAAATACGACTAATGCAAAAATATTGCATTTCTTTTTAATAAAATGCTACAGTTAATATTTATATACCAACAAATTAACAAAGCTTTAAACTAGTCATGGCATAAAAAGCAGGACTCGTTTTTATCTACACTTTTAGAGCAAGTATTGGTAATGTCGTTTTATTGCTGTGTATCAATTCACAACCTTATTTATCTATGCATGCAGTTCATACGGTTCAAGATTTAATATAATGAGCTCCATATTACAAACGCTATATATAGTGTGGTAAAATTTTACTGATGATAGCTTTAAAGCGTTTTTATGTGCTCGCATTTCTTCAGATATTTTTGTATTGTTTATTTTACATAATTATGATGACACTACGGCAATGAAACATTTCAAAAAATTTGCCTGATTTGCAAAACATTATAATGCGTTTTATTTTTTAGATTAAAGTGAACGTGAAAATGCTCATTTCGTATCTTCTCTTAAACATATTGTGCACACCAACTTTAATCTTTACCAATGGAAATGTCAACCTTCAATCTCAGCATGCCTCGTTGCAGTCAAAATTTATATTTAAAAGCATCAGCACTTCAAAAGTTAATGAATGTCTACAGCATTGCTTAAAAGACTGTTCATGTTTATCATTTCAAATTTGTGGTTCGGTATGTCAACTTCTTTCCACAACGATAACTACCAAATCAAGGAATGAAAACGAGCAAGATCAATGCAATCATTTTTCCATTAATGTAACTAATCAAAATGAGGTAAATCAATTTTGTCATATATATGCATATATATATATATATATTTGAAAATTGGTAACACAGGCATATTATGATAATGTTAAGGATTCTCTGCATTTTTATTTTGAAATTTTTATTAAGCTTTCAACTCGGTGCTTCGAACCTTCGTCAGAATGTAAGAATATATTATTTACAAAGATTTTGTAGGCGTTTGGAGCGTCTGATTGGTTGGTTAGTAAAAGAGTTGATATTATTGGATGGTATAAGATGCGTTGTCATGGTTTTTGGTGTATGGATTGGGTTAATGAAATTCGAGTGTTTTATTTTAGACGTTGTGTTATTAGTTTCTTGCTTTCGTTTTGTCTTTAGTTGTGAATAGATGATGGGGATGTCAATATGTCTGTTTATTGTGTTGTTGTCTTTGCTGTACCATGCCTCTTTGAATTCTCGTGCGCGTTTTGTCTGTGCACGTCCAAGAAGTTGTGTTTTTTCCAGTCAAATGTGTGGTTGGTATCATAGTTATGTTCTGCTGGTAGTGATTTTGTGTCGCGTCGCTTGATGGCATTTTTGTGTTCAGTGAGTCTTGTTTCAATTTTCTTGGATGTTTGTCCTATGTACTGTTTGGGGCAATCTTTACATAGTATCATGTAGATCACGTTGGTTGTGTCCAATGTCGTTGTTCGGTCTTTATGTTTAGTATGTCTTTATACATGTACATACAAAGTGTATCTACAATGGGCTCTCCCGGCTATCACCATGGTAAAATGGTGACTCCTGCACTTGGGACACAGGACGTACGGTTATATATATATATATATACATATATATTTCTTTAAGTTTGAAAATTTGTAATCCCGGCATTTAATACATAAAAGTTAAAAGAGTCTCCGGATTTTAAGTGATTTTTATTGAGCTTTCGACTCGTTGCTTCGAGCCTTCATCAGAATGAGGATATTTACTTACACGTGCTTTTAGCTTGGAGACTCATATACTCACAACTCAAGAAAAAGGACAAAAAAACTACAAACAACACCAAAACTAAAACACTATACTCTAATATTATTAACACCAATCATATTCACAATACACCAAAACCCATGGCAACGCATTTCACCCCATCCAATCACATTAATCAACCCACTAATCCAATTAGACGCTCTAAACGTCTCCAAGCTAAAAGCACGTGTAAATAAATATCCTCATTCTGATGAAGGCTCGAAGCAACGAGTCGAAAGCTCAATAAAAATCACTTAAAATCCGGAGAAACTTTTATCTTTTATGTATATATTTCTTTGTGTTGACAATTCTAAGCTGGTGCGCATTTTATATTTTTAAAAACTTTGATGACTCATTTCTTGTGTGATAATTCCGAGGCTATGTGGTGCAAGCATGCAAGCGTAGCGATTTTTTGTTTCGAGGTGGTAGACATCGTTGTTCAACAACGCATTCAAACAACGCTCATTTTCTCCTTAATGTGAACTTTCAGATATGACGTACCTTTGCAAAATATTTAACAAAATATAAACTAGCTATGTTGTAAAATTTAGCTGGTTCTTCAATGGACGCATGCCGATGCTATTTCTAGACGACAAATTGCGATCGGCACATGGCCTAAATCTTTCAACATGTAAAAGCAGAGGAGAAAATGTCAGAAACAATCTTGAACACTTTGGTACAATATAATTTGCCTTTCATAAAGTCTGAAGCAAGAAGCAAGGAATTGGCATGAATTCCTAGCACGAATATTTTAAACAAAGTCACAAAACCTATCGTCCTTCTGTATATGAACGAAAAAAGGGAAAGTTTTCTCACATTGTAATGTGAGTCGTTTATATTATAATTTCATCTAAGTGTTGATATATCATCTAAGTGTTGATGTATACATCTAAGTGTTGACGTTGAAATACATCTAAGTGTTGATAAATAAAATATGTCTCTCAATGAAATTAGATCATTACATAGAAATGCATTGGTATGTTAGAATGCAAATTTTTCAATTTGGAAAGAAGATCATAGCGCATCAAGAAAAGTACATCAAAAAGTTCTGAATTAATTTAATATAGTGATTTCGAATTTGATAACAAGTGGTGCATTAAGTTCTGTTGCAATTCAGCAATGCAAAAGACGTGTAAACATGTAGACACAAAGATACATTGCATTAGAGAAAGAGCGGAGAACAAAAAAGTAGAGATTCGTTACTTTCTGACTTATCAAATTACTACGAACAAGTTTATATACAATGCATAAAAGATAGAAAAACAATGTTATGTTATATTTGGCAATTATAAATTTTGAAAACTCATGAAAGCAAACTCATTGTAGCAATCGTAATTACGAGTTTGAGCAAGGGTGATGATATGATTGTTCATTGAGTCACAAGGATTGTTACAATTGATATTTTGGACTGTAAGGAATACTTAGCCTTTAAGTAACACCTAAGTAAAACATATAACGAACGATCATAGCTGTTATTACACCCTACTGCACTTTTTTCAACTTCAATTTTAATGCAGATTTTCGTTCTTCAAAAAATGCATAATTGTTCTATAAAAGATAACTGTTTTTTTTGGAAGTAAAATAAATAACTATGGTAAAATGGGATGGCAAAACTACAGTTGTTGCTTTCATTTAATTTTTTCACAGCTCGATTTAAAAAATAGAAATAGTGGCTCCATTTTTTGCAAACAAAGTTCGTTACAAGGATACTAAATCTTCCTATTAAACGCTGCAAAATAAAAAAAATATTAACGCTTTACTCAGTATAAGTTGTTTCTTTTTTAAGAGTCCATCAAAGCACAATCGACAAAGCTGCTTCGTCGTAATAAATTGCTGTCTAACCTCCAATTTTTGCAATAACAATGGAAATTGCCGAAAATCAACATCACCAAACAGTAAGATTCGTGCTACATGTCAGTGTGAAGAAGGATTTGTTGGTGAGCGTTGTGAAAAGAAAGCAATGTCTTGTCAAAGTTATAGTGGTCTTTCGAATGGCTGGTACAAAATAATTACAAAGGATGATAACAAAGTGAAAGTCTACTGTCATTTTGAATCAGACAGAATTTGGACTTTGGTTATGTCTTATAGCTTAGAATTCAATGAACATTACAAAAATAGTCCGTACTTTACAAATTCTCCACGAAACGAAATGATTGAAACATGGGAGGATCATAGGCTTTCTTTGAACTCAATGAAAACTATAAAAGAAGATGGAAACACATTATGGTGTATCACATGTTCCTACGGCAATAATGGCTGGAATACCACAGATATTGTTATTGCAAAACATAAAAATGCGCCAATTATGAAAAAAGACATGCCTTTTCCAATGTGCCTAAATGTTGACTTTATTAATATCAGAGGCAACTTTTGTAGAAACTGTTCTGTTCCTTTTTGGCAAAGCAAAGATTTTATATTCCATACAGACAGTGAAAATAGCAAGGATTACTGTGAAAAAAAACGTATTTTTGACCCGATGAAATGTGATGACGGTTCAGGAGGAGAAGATAATTTCGGATTTTACAATTGTCGAAATAGACAACACCGTTGTTCTTCGTCAAATAATGCAACCACACAGTTGTGGTTTGGTGGAAAAATTAAGTAAAACTGTATATAAAAAGGAAGTCTTCTAGTTTGGTAAAATAACATACAAAATCCATATATATAGCATAACGGTTGCAAAATTCATAATATGGTACTAAAACTTTTGTGCTTGAGGCGATTAAGTGAGGACTAATATATATTATTCTAATGTATAAGTGGTATATTAGTTTATGGATTAAGTGTACAGAATATAATATCGTGCGGTTCGTTTAAAAATATTAAGTATAACCTTTGGGAATGCTAAAAAGAAAAAGAAAATTTGAGTAAATTTTTCTGTATTCTTGTAAATATCTTTAACTTTGTGCTAGGCACATAACATTCCTTTGCCAACATAAATTATAAATTGCTATGAAGATGTGAAAATGTAACTGTTGCATGATCAATATAAGTAATAGTATAGTTTGAAGTGCAATTACTTATAAATCTGTGAGTTTTTTAAAGACTGCAGCAAGTCCGAAAAAAAGCGCTATTTGCAGTCTTTAAAAACGCTCGAAAACGCTTTTGTTTATCATTTTTAGCAGCAATCAATGCACAAGAAAATTTACCATTGCTAGATAATAATATATTGTGAGATATTTCATGACTTTACTAACTCTGTCTTGCTTCGTTCATTTTTTAGTTTAAGGAAAACCTATTTTACCCATCTTATGACTGCCAAGGACACTCATCCAAAAAACGTTACTCGCTAGTTTGTGTTTATTCTTTGCATTCCTTAGTAATTGTTTAATCTTAAACGATTGTAACTGTGGAAATTTTTGTTATCATAAAACTGTTGCGAAAATTTTTTTTCGAATTAAGAAGAATTTTTGTCGTTTTTCACAACAATTCAATTATCAATTAGGTTACATTACTTAAAAGGAAATTACACATTTTAAGAAGCAGTTACCGCTCTTTTACTGTGCAATTGCACATTTTCATTCAAATTATCACCGTTGAAATATATAATATATTATACGTATGCAACATTTTTACGTTTCGAAAAATTTAAACGGTAAATGCAGTCCAGCATCTCATACAAGACTAAAATCAGAAGCTTTGAAAAAAGGAAATGTGAGTTAATATTAACAGATCTGTTTTAATTGTTGTATGTATAGCGCATGTTTCAATCCACTGATGGTTCGTTAACCAAAGCGTACAACATAGTTTTATAGCTTGCTTATAGAAGCTACACTTCCAATTGACACAAGTTACAATATAATTGAAGTCAAGTTTGCTGAAAAGTCTGTCCTCTACTGCCATTCGATTTTCTTAAGATAAAGGCGTAACGCATAACTAAACTTAAATACAAAGGAAAAATGTGTGTCGAACAATCTTGGTTGCTTTAGCTGTAAAAACCTTTATCGATTAATCATAGTGGCTGTAACGGTAGAAAACTTTCAAGAAACAACGTTTACTTTAATAGGTTTTCTTAGGTAAAATCGTTTGATCGTTTACAAAAACGTGAATGATTTGAAAGAAAATCGTGAATGATTTGATTGTATAGGAAAGAAAATGGATAAATTTTCAAAATAAAAAAGTAACTTTTTAACTTCGCCAAAAACTTTGGAGGATGCTGAAGTGTTTTTATGAATCCATGGAGCGTTTTTCATGGTAAAAGTTTGGTGTAAATTGAAACACAATAAACCCATTTAAAGCACATGCATAATGATATATGCCAAGAAGCATTGAGGGTAAATGTAGAGAAATGAGAAACGACAAATATGCGTAATTACAAGAGATTTCCTTCAAAGGAGAGACATCGCTAGGCAATGTGTTCAAATTTAACCTTGCTTTTGACAAACCTCAAATGATATCCTCACTGATATTTTCAATACCCTAAAAAATATTAGAAATAAACGTGATCCTAACCATCATCACCAGCTTTGTAGATTAACATGCATCCAAATGTATGAACTCATTTTAAGTCTAAATGAAACCTCTCTAACGGAAATCACTGAAAAAGTAAAAAAAACTAAATGATGGAATTCAAATGACGAAAGAATTATACAGTACAGATTGCTGCTCATGGTGAATGGGGTTATATGGTGAATAACAACAATTGTTTAATCGACGAAATTTCGCATCTGAAAAAGGAGACAGCACGTTTGAGTCACGAGATTTGCCGTTCGTCAGATCAGAATTTGAATTTGAAAAAGGAAAACTGTGGACTTAAAAGTTGAATGAAAGAAGTATTACAGTGGAGGCAACAGGTAGACGAGGCGATGGCCGCAAGAAAACACTACAAACTAACTTCGTAGTTTAATTTATCTATTGAAACAGCTTGTTAGGAACTTTTTGCCAATTATTTTATTGCATTTAATAACGTTGACTTTATTGCAATATCGAAACAACAATAAGTGCACTGTAAATTTTAAGGTGTTAATTTAACACTAAAAAGTCATGTTAAATTAAAAGGTACAGAATAACACCATTTCGGGCGTTATTTTCTTACTGGTGTTAAATTAATACCCAGTTTGGTGCTAAAATAGCGCCTATTCTTGGTGTTATTATAGCACTTGTTAAAGTGCTAATTTAGCCCTTAACGTCCGGTGTCAAAATGACACTTAAATTCGGTGTTATTTTGTAATCCCTTTTCTTATTGTTTTATGTAAGGCCAGTTAAACACGCGACACAAAAATGCTGAGCAATAAATATATTAAAAAAAAATGAAATGATTTATATGCATGTATTCACACATATAAATATATACAAAACATAAAACATACTATAAAAAAGTCTATATATGAAACAAGTAAAGTTAAATGTATATATATAATTAAATATATAAAACATCTTAGAAACATCTTTGTTTCTGGCTGCTTTTGTGTAGTTTGAGACACACAAACAGATCTTGTTATTGAATTTGTCTTCTTTCTATGCATGTTTGTGAATCCATTAGTGATTGCTTTCAACCATGACCCCTGTAACGAAGAAAGTTCATGCTACACATTATAAGAGATAGCGAGCAAAGCTATAGGATTTCTTCTAAAGATTATCTTATGCATTAAATAATATGAATATGACTTACTGTACCAGCTCCAAGTGAATCGACAAGAAAAGTATATTTTTCTACAATCATGGACGCCACTCTTTGTTTTTCTTCTCTGGATGGAAACATTGTATGAGCCTTAATAGAAGAACAAATGTGCCCAGTAAACTCATCCTAAGGTTTCCATTAAGTTTTCCTGCTTGCAGTGCTTCATTCACTCTTGGAGAAAACTGTAAAACACAAAAGATAAATTTTAACATTAGAATGTGACCTATTATGAGGTATATTATTTAAAGTAAATGGTTTGAACCCGGGAGTATCGTTATATGTTTGTAATTGATGATCGTCCAGGTTAATAAAGTCCTGAGAAGGACTGTTTTTGTTGTTGTAGACTGACGTTTCGACAACCTTAGCAGTAGTCATCTTCAGAGTCAAATGAGGAGTAAACGTCAGGTTAGCCGTATTTGTTATCTGGTTCCTACGTCATTGTATTGTATTAACCTGGACGATCATCAATTACAAACATATATTATTTAACATACAGAAATAGGAAGTTTAAAACCTTTTATCCAGTTCTTGTTCGGTTTCCTTTCTTCCACAAGTGCAAAGCTTGGTGAAGGTTGATCACTCTTTTCAGACGCTATGGTATGTCGAGGTGTACTGGATGTTGTAGGTGACGGTGTGCCTGTTGACAAATGAGCTTCTTCAATTGACGCTGAAGAATTGCTGACATTGTCATTTATGGCAAAGGAATGACTAGTGGATAAAGCGATCTTCTGGGTGGATGGTTCAATGGTGGATGCAACATTTCTTAATGGTAGAAACTTGTCCAAGTTGTTAATCGTTGCCAATGCATTTTTGATTCGTATAACTTGCCCTCCTTTTATGCCACATGCCTTCAACAGCTCATCGGATGTATTGTTTAAAATACCAGCTGAATCAAACTATTCAAGTACAAAAAATAAAAATTAAATTAAAAAGATATATATATGTTAATGACTGAGTGAGAGGTTCGTACAGGAGGATACTGATCGAGTTGTTTTTTCGCTTGTACTGACTGAGACTTTGGGGAGGTCCATTCAAGCGAAAAAAGAGCAGCCATTTGATGTTTGGATTGGGCTGTGACCAATCAGAACGCACATGAAATAAATGTAAAAATGTTTTTCAGATGTCTCAAACGGCCAGAGGCCAAAGGCCGTTTTTTATGTCGAGAGGAACTATTTTTCTATTCGGACCAAAATATAAACGGTAAATAACGTATTTATTTTTTGTCAATCGGTTATGGCAGTTGTGCCATAATGTAATCTTGAATTTCATGCGTAAAACTTTCGTCCCTTTCATCCATGTTTACGTTTTCTGCTATATTTTCGCTAACATTTTCCACGATATTTCCAAGCTCGTCGGCATAGTAAAACTCGCTTTCCGAGTTTCAAACTATCATTCAAATCCTTTGTTAAAAACGTTTTCCAAATATCTTTTTTAAATTACTAAAACAGCTTAATTTATTGGCTTTAACATTTGCCAGGATTCCGCGGACCGGAGTAAAAAAAATGAAGTAATTTATTCGAACATCAACTTAGCATGCTGCAATAATAATGATTTGGTATTTTTACTTCATAGTCTAATGTAGTTTGGAACCACAGCAGTTGAACTTTCACTCATAATGCTTGACGTCTTAGATTACTTAGTCATTTTTCATCTTTACATTTTATTTCCCTCAATAATTTTCCCCACTAAATTCAAGTATTGTTTTTTCGGTATGGAGTCCATATTTACCAAGCAGTGTTAACAAAAGCAACAAAAAGTCGTCTAGTCACAACGTCAACACGCAAAAATTCATGCACTCATGCTAAAATTAATTTTATACACATACCTCTTCATCTTCAAGAACAGAAATTACACTGTCCTTTACCCCTGCCTTCTTAAGATTATCAAGCAACGTGGAATCCATCCGACCTTAAACGCATAAAAATTTGTAAAACACAAATACAAAAATTTCTACATGAAATATAAGCACGAGGAGAAGTATGTGTCACAAGAAATTTCATAAGAAAATACATTCAAAAAAGCTTTGTATTTACCTTTTGAAAAGAAGGGAGATCGTCGAAAGCAAATAACTTAAATCCAATGGCTCTGTTAGCCTGGTAATATTGACTTTTACGTTTAGTTCACAATAAAATATAATTTGACAACGCTGCACAAACAGGTGAAATCACGATGAAAATCATGAAATGAAATATGAGTCAGTGTGACAGTGACAGTAGGCTATAATCATTTTACCGCGTTTTTGCATATAGTCGCTAATATCACATTTCACACCATATATGGTAACAGAGTTGAGTCGGCACTCTTCAGAAGTGAATTGTATTCTTGAAGTGAATTATGTCATGGAGCGTCTATATCGATGAAATATTTGCCTAGAATTCGTTTCAGATTCT